TCAAATGCCATTGCATAATCAATGGAACACAAATAGACAATTCTCTTGTATTCAGTGCTTAGAATTGGCAAAAAAAAAAAAGCCCCAGGAATTAATGGTATACCAATTGATATTTCAGCTAACAAATGCTGCCCTGGATACGCTCACCAATTTGTTTCACCAAGAAATCTGGAAGATAACCACTTGGCTAACTGACTGAAAGAGATCTATATTTGTTCTCATTCCAAAGGTGATCCAACAGAGTGTGTAAATTATCAAATAATATCATTATATCACATGCCAGCAAAATTCTGCTGAAGATTATCCAAAAATGACTGAAATAGCACAATAGAAAACTGCCAGAAGTGCAGGCTGGGTTTAGAAGGGGTGGTGGTACTAAGGATATTGTAGCTAATGTCAGATGGATCTTGCCTGAGAGCAGGGAATACCAGAGGAATGTCTTTTATCAGGGATATGGGAAAAGAAGTAAATAAAATATTAGACAAGGCCGCAGCTATGATCCGCACCGCGAATTCAGTCAACTAGCCAAGTACCTACCTTAAAAATTTCTTAGTGTGATTCCAGATCTCTAGTCTCATCACCTCCAAACTCTGCTGGGAACTCTGGCCCCTGCATGGACTCCCAGTGCCTGGAACTCAGGCCCCATCTCCATTGCCAATGGCCCACATCCGGAATGCTGGCCCTGGTGCCCATGCCCTGTGCCCAGAACTCTGGTCCAGAGCTCTGGCCTATCCCAGCACCCATGTCCTGCACCCTGGCTCTTGCCTGGAACCCTAGCTCCAGCTCCAATGCCCCACACCTGGAACCCGGCCCAGTGCCCACGCATTGTGCCAGAAACCCAGCTCCCACTGTACCCACCCCACATCCAGAACTCTGGTCTCAGACTCCAAACCTGGCACTCATGCTTCACTCCTGGAACCCTGGCCCAGGTGCCTACAGCCCATGCCGGGAACTCCAGTCTGGCACTGATGTCACGGCACCCACTCACCATGCCTGGAACCTCAGCCCTGGTGCTCGGAACTCTGGCCCTGGCCCACACCCTTTGGCCAGAATTCTGGCCCCGGTGCCCATGGCCCATGCCCAGAACTCTGGCTCCCACACCAATGGTCCGACATTGATGCCTTGCACCTGGAATTCCAGTCCTGACACCTGGATCCCTGATTCTCACGCCAAGCCCCATAGCCGGAACTCAAGTCCTGATGCTGACGACCCGTACCAGGAACTCCAGTCCTGATGCAGTTAGCCTGAACCCAGCGTTCCAGACCTGATACCTATGCCCATGCTGCATGTGCAGCAGGAGGGATGCTAGACCTTGAGTGAGGTAATTTGCTGGGAGAGCACTGCTATTTGGCTGGAACACGTGGGACCCTTTAAGCTCTATCAGAAGGGGACAAGACAGCTGGAGCTCATTCTTGAAGGGAAAACCAAGGCTTCCTGGTTTTCCAGTCAGGTCTCTTTGCTCCACTTTGGGTCTTCTCATTTCTAGCCCATCAATTGTCTTTAGCCCTGGACACCCTGGGCTAGTCTAGGTGTGACAGTTGTCTGACAGAGGAGGCTGCTTCCACTTGTTTTTTCTATAATATACTGAAACATATTTTCCCTTGAGTCAGAAGGCAGAGAGAAATCCAGGCAGGGTAGCTGCCCCATCCTCTTCTAGAGTGGTGACTTCAGATCAAGAACCTGCTATTGCCCCAGACAGGAAAAATTCTAACACAGCAATGTCATGTAGGAAGAAGGCTACCACACCCCCTACACAAGTTCAAAGCAAGATGTCACTGCCGACCAATCCCCCCTGCCCCAAGTGACACAATATCAATGGATTTCATGAAGCCATAAAGTCTGATGGAACTTTCTGACCCAGAATTCAAAAGAACAATGATTGAATATTTTCAATGAGTGAAAGATAAATTTGAAGACTTATAGGCCTCTCTGCAAACAAAAACCAGGAGGAGCTTAAAAAAACAATCTAAGACAATGCAGATAAAACAAACAAGGCATTAGAGGAAAAATAAGAAACCACAATCCAGAATATGAGGACCAATGTTTAAGATGCTGTCAACATGTTAGAGGGACGTATGAACATAGTTGAAGAGATGAAATTCAGATCCAGTGAAATAGAAGATGAAACTGTCACTACTGATCTGCTAGAACAAAAAACAGTATCAATAATGAAGGAAAAAGAAGAAAACCTAAGAATGATGTGGGACACCATCAAGAGAAATAACATGCGCATAATCAAATTCCCAAAGCAAGAAAAAGCAACTAAAGACACAGAAAATTTTGTGGAAGAATTATTAGAAGAAAACTTTCCAGGCATAAAAAATAATGAGAGAATATATATTGAAGTAGTTGGGAGAACACCATATAGAATAGACTCGAAAAGAAAAACACCAAGTCATATCATAGTAAAATTTTCCAGGACCAAAGATAAGGAGACAATTCTGAAAGCATCAAGGGAGAAACAAAGGGTAACTTCTAAGGGAAAGCAAATAATATTAAATGTGTATTTCTCAGCAGAAACCATATGAGCAAGGAGACAAAAGAATGATACATAACAAACACTCAAAGAACACCATTGTCAACCAAGTGTATTATACCCAGCAAAATGTCCACCACATATGAAGGCGAGATCAAAATATTCCCAGAAAAACAGACCCTAAGGGAGTTTGTAAAAATAAGACTAGCATTGCAGGAAACACTGAGAAGTGTCCTTCATAGAGAAGTGCCACAGAAAGCAGGATGAACCAAAGTAACTAGCAATAGCACCAAAAAGAATGCAACAAAATGATAGCAACAAAACTTTGATGCTCAATGGTCACACTGAATGCAAATGGCTTAAATGAACCCATGAAGAAAAAAAAAAGAGTAGCAGATTTGCTGAAAAACCAAAATACATCAATATGCTGTCTACAAGAGACATACCTGAAAAATTAAGATAAAGAAAGACTAAAAAGGATGGGTAAAATATACCAAGCAAATGGCAACCAGGAAAAAGTGGAGTGGCAATAGTAATATCTGATAAAATACATTTTAATGCAAAGACCATCATAAATGACAAAGAAGATCACTACATAATGATTAAGGGGTTAATAGAAAAAGACGACATAACAATAAAAGATATATATGCCCCAAATGAAAAACCTGGAAAAATGTATAAAACAAACATTACAAAAACAGAAAAAGGAAATATACAACACTGCTATAGTAGTTGGAGACTTCAATACACCACTTTCAAGATTCCCATCCCCAAGCCGCATGAAGGATTTTAAGGGAGTCTCCCTCCAATTTGGAAGTCAGCTGGCTAAGCGGGCGGGATGGCTGGTGCCTCCATGGTGGCTCCTCTTGGTGGCAGTCAGACAAGGGAAATATTTGGGGTCTTTTGCGTTGTGTGCTGTCCTTTTTGGCTTTCAAAGCTGCATGGGCAGCCCTACTCTTCGAGTAAGGGCAAGTAAGGGTGGGGTCGAGTCTGCGGGAGCCTGCTCCAGGCCCTAGCTTAAAATTCTATTGGGCCCCAGGGCTGCCTTTAATTGGTTTTGGTGAAAAATTCTTCTAGGTGGTGTAACCCTGGTATGTCCACTTGCTGTACAGAAGTAACTCGAGGTTGCTGTGAAGCCAAACACTGTGACACTGATGAGTCAAATGCGAGAATGGTTACCCATGGTGGACAGTGTTTGGTGAAACTCCCCGCTTAAAACAAGCTTGGAAACAGGAGTGGCATCCACTTTCATAATAGCTTGCCTCCGGAAACCCTATGAACCTGGAGAAAGGATGAAAGTTATACAGGTGTCCAGGTCTTTTGTTCTTAGGGTCGCTATGAGTTGCCTGTGACTCGACGGCACTTAACAACACAACAACAACTAGAGCACCACAACAAGATAAACAACCCAATTGCAAATTGGGCACAAGCTATGAATAGACACTTCACCAAAGAAGACATTCAGATGGTGAACAAACACATGAAGAAATGTTCAAAATCCCTAGCTCTAAGAGAGCTGCAAATCAAAACAACTATGAGATATCATCTCACCCTGTTAAGAATAGCAAAATTCAACAGAGCAGCAAACAACAAATGCTGGTGAAGTTGTGGAGAAACTGGAACCGTTATTCACTGTTGGTGGGAGTGTAAAATGGTGCAATCACTATGGAAGGCAGTATGACACTTCCCCCAAAAATTGGAAATAGAAATTCCATTTAACACAGCAATTCCACTACTGGGAATATACCCTAAAGAAACAAGAACTGCCATCCAAGGAGATATACGCACAACCATCTTTATTGCTGCTTTGTTCATAATAGCAGAATTGGAAACAACTCAAGTGTCCATCAACAAATGAATGGATTGAGAAGCTGTGGTATATTCATGCAATGAAATATTTTGCAGCACTGACAAACAAGGAACTCATGAAATATTATACAAAATGGCTGACCATGGAGAACATTATGCTGAGTGAAATATCTCAGTAACAAAAAGACCAATACTGTATAATGCCACTGATATAAAAAAGAACCGACAGGAGGGTTGGGGACAAACTAAGAAAGAGGGGATAAATAATGTACACAACATTGAAACAGACAAGGGTGAGAACTATATAAAAGGAAAATATGATTAGGTATTATTTGTGTGACAAGAGTTCAGAATAAGAGCTGCATAGTAAATTGATCTGTGGGAAGGACTGTGTAATAATTAAAGAACTTTTTTTCTAAAGAAAAAAGGAACTGGGGGAAGGGTGCAGGGAAGAAAATGTACAACAATGAATGAATGGAAAACCAAATTCTATATAAACTTACAATAAAATCTCCATTAAAAAATCAGGCAAGAATTCTGTAAAGAAAGTAAATCTTTAGCCAGTTTAAGAGAAAAATATTGCTGCTATTTTAATTATGCTTTTTATCAGTAAATTATTAGACATTTTCTTGAAAATAACCCAAACTTTGATACTTCTCTCTACTTCAAGCTGAAAAGTGATTCTTTGTTTTGTTGTAAATTGACACATCATTGGTTACACATTGGAAGATGTGAATTTGACAGCATCTTTCTGGCAAATGCTATTAAATTTGCAGTTACAGTCTTCAGAATACACTTGACTTCCTGTTATGACTGCACAGCTATTGTGATCAGTTGGTCCAATCACCGGGAACCTGGGGAAGATAAAGGAGATAGTTTCCAGGATGAGAAAATCATGGTAGTATTTTGTGTTGTTTGTATTTTATTTTTTATTTCTTTTATTATTATTTGAGGGAAAACTAAGAAATATATTAGTCTATAATTATAATTTTCAACCATTCATGCATATTTTAGTCTATAACAGTAATTTCAATATCCATAATACATAATTCCACCAGTCAAATGTTCATGTTCTTCACCAATAACAAAATTCTTATTTGGTTTAACTTTTTAACTGTCAAACTTTCACATGCATATTAAGCAATTGAAAATACAATGGCTTGGATCAGATGTACTTTAGTCTTTAAACTGAGAGATTTAGTCAATGTACTTATATATACATGTATATAAATATGCATATAACACCCTACATGTATATATGTATATATAATAACAAAAACACCTACATCCATATATCCAAATACATATATATGTGCATAGATGATAGGTAGGTAGATAGATGGATAGATAGATAGATAAATAGATAGATAGATAGATAGATAGATGATAGATAGATATTGACTGTTGAAAAGTATGCATATACAACTCTAGATAAAAGTGTCTTTGTACATCTTAGTGAGAGTTTACATTCAGCAAAGTGTACAAAACTTCATACTCACTCACGTAACTTATTTTTTCCTCATCACCAAAAATAACAAATGCTTACTAATCTTACGAGTGGATACTCATACGTGCATTAACTTATGTTTGTCATATAAAAATATGGAACATTTCAAAGCTATTGCAACATAGATAATATATTTTAAATATATGTTATGTGGGTTTTCTAAGGATTCAAATTAGGATTTGCAGTTTCAAGCTTGATTCAAGAAATCTATATATTGCAGATTTTTTAAAATGTACAGATGAATGCTCTTTCTGCATTTGTCATCTAGAAAATAGGTATGTAAATTATTTTAAGTGGCTTAAGTGAATTAAAATTTTTTTAAATCATTATTACTTCTTGAAGAATTAATATTTTGCTCTTATTGCGCTCATATAGATAAGTGGTTAAGGAGTTTTGCTGCTACCCCAAAAGCATACAATCAAATACCACAAGCCGAGTGATATTCTTTTTGGGGTTTTGTTTTGTTTTGTTTTGCAGGAAGGGGTGATATTTTTACATACTATTTACAAGCTCTGAAAACCCATTGGAAGATCAGTTGTAAGTTTGTTCTGAATTGATAGCACATAACAATAAGGAGTCAAAGTTTTCATTGACCAAGTATTTCAGAAGTTTGTGACTAGTTCTGTTTCCCAGACTGTCTCCATCTGGAGGCTCTACTGAAATCAGACCATAATGGTTGAATCTTGTTACATGCTGCTGAATGGTAACTAACCTATAGATGACTCCCTAGTAGGTTTTGGAGGCAATAAATGGCATGGGAGAAGATTGCCCATCCTTCTCCTGTGGAGCAGCTGCTGCTTTCTAAAAGTAAGCCTTTAGTAGAGCTTCTAACCAATAGGCCGTCAGAACTGCCTAAGATTGAGCCTACTCATATTTAAAATATTGATGGCATAGTTTTCAAGACCACAGCAATACAACCGTCACCATAGTATGACAAACTAACAGAGGAATGACTGAAAGATCATATCCTTCAGCATAGGTTTTATCTCAAAATAAAGAAAACAAAAATCTTCACAACTGAAACAATAAACATGAACATGAAAAGTATAAAAAAAAAGGATTGAAATTGTCGAGAATTTAATTTTACTTGAGCCATAATCAATGCTGATAAAAGCAGTAGTCAATAGATCTGATGGTAACTTGCATTGAACAAAACAGTTGGAAAGACCTTTTTAAAGGACGAAGAGCAAGGATGTCCCATTGAGGATTAAGTGATATCTGACTCAAGCCAGATATTGTCAGTAGTTTCAGATATATATGAAGCCTGAGTATGAATAAGACTGAATAAAAATTAATCTTTGAATTTTGGTGTTGGCAAAAAATATTGACCATGGCATGACTGTCAAAAAGAACAAGAAAATTATTATCTTTGATGAAGTGCAGCCAAAATTCTCCTTACAATTGAGGATAGGGAAACTTTGTTTCACAAATTTCAGATGTCTTATTGTGCAAGGCTAGTCCCTAAAGAAGTAACTTGTGGTTGCTCTGAGGCTGAACACTGTGACACTAATGTGTCAAATGCATTAATGGTTGGTTACCCAATGCGGACAGTGTGGGGCGGAGCTCCCTGATTAAAACAAGCTTGGAAGCAGGAGTGGTATCCACTTCCATAATAGCTTGGCTCCGGAAAACTCTATGAACCTGGAGAGAGGATGAAAGACGTACAAGTGTTGAGGACTCTTCTTTATAGGGTCGCTATGAATCGCCTGTGACTTGACGGCACTTAACAACAACAGTCCCTAAATAAAGACATCTTTCTAACCAAAGTATAGGATCAATGACAAATAGGCTGGCTCAACACTGGCTCCAATAATGGGACTAAACAACCATTACTGTGAGGTTGGCTTAGGATTGACTAGGCAGTGTTTAAGTTTATTGTGCTTAAGGTTCACTATAAGTTGATATCAACTTGGTGACATGTAATGACAGACACCACGATAATTCACTTTTGGCTTCCATAATTTTCCCCATTTGTCAACACTAATGAATGTTGAGAGGTGAAGAAAAGAAATAAGGGGAGGAACAGAAGGTGAGAGATAGGAATGAAAATGAAAAGAAAATCTAGAAGAGAGAAATCATACTGAAGGGAGAGAAGTCTGAAAGCAAGCAAGACTAATTTATAAATATTTCGGTATAAATAGAACAAAACAGACAAATACATACTAAGTAATTTACTTACAATTGTGGAATTAAAAGGTGTTCGTCTATCCAGGTCCAACGATTTCCTTGGTGTGTAACATATAGTCCAACCCATCCAAAGTGTCCAGGTTTTAATTTGCTCTGTATGAAAGCCTATAGAGAACATGGTCAAGACAACTATGAGATATCATCTCATCCCAGTCAGAATAGCAACATTTAACAGAACAGCAAGCAACAAATGCTGGGGAGGTTGTGGAGAAACTGGAACCTTTATTCACTTTTGGTATAAGTGTAAAATGGGGCAACCACTGTGGAAAGTGGTGTGGCCCTTTCTCAAAAAGTTGCAAATAGAGATACCATTTGACCCAGCAATTCCGCTACTGGGAATATACCCTAAAGGGACCTTAACCACCATCCAAGCAGACATATGCACACCCATGTTTATTGAGGCTTTGTTCACAATAGCAAGGAGTTGGAAACAACCCAAGTGCCCATCAACAAATGAATGCATAGAGAAGCTGTGGTATATTCACACAATGGAATACTACACTGCATTGAAAAACAAGGAACACATGCAATATTATTCAAAATTGGTGACCTTGGAGGACATTATGCTGAGTGAAATATCTCAGTCACAAAAAGGACAAATACAGCATGGTGCCACTGTTGTGGAATGGGACTGACATCCTGCTTGTGGTAAGACTGAGAAAAACTAGATAAATTATGTATACTGCATTGAAACAGATGAGGCAGAGAACAGTTTAAAAGTGATATATGATAGGGTATTATGGTTATCACAAGAGTACAGAATTAAGTTGCATAGTGGAGTGTACTTGGGGCGAGGGGGGAGGAGGATTGTATACCAAGTATACCAATGAAGTAATTTTTCTTTTGCTTTTCAAAGAGAGGAGTGAACTGGGGGAGGGAGCAAGGAGAAAAGTGCAACAATGAATGAATGGAAATCCAAAATCTCTGTAAATGTTCATAAAATTAATTTTAAAAAAGGAAAATGGTGTATTCGTTGTTGTGTTAGGTGTTGTGTTTTTGTGGTTTTTTTAAAATTTGAAGTCTCACGTAGAGGAAGGAATTGTGTTAGATAGTGATGAAATGGCAAATAATACATCTCTTGTTTCCTAAATAATAGTTTATTTTTTTTTTAACTAAAAAAATCTTCACTATTTTATGGCTATACTTTCCAGGATCATTTCTATAGTTTGTTACTAGTGAAGTCTCTCTGAATTTCTAGAGCACTTACAGAGAGATACTATGGCTAACAAATAAATGTTCAGCAGCCCTCGCTTCAAATCACCCATATTATATTAGGAAATAAGCTTGTAACTAGCATTTCTTCCTTGAAATCCTGCATCCTCTTTTTAAAATTTCTCACCAGCTCATCCAAATTTTGAATCACCAGCAAGTGTGCTTGCTGATTTTTACAATCAAGTTGGCTCTCTTTCCAAGTTTTAAAGGAAGTTGAAAACCAGTAGCATTTCTCTTGGTTCAACAGCCAGTGGTTTGGGCATGTAAAATTACTTCCTGAGGAAAAATGAAGGAAGGAAAATTAAGTGCTATTGAGAAGATAGTAGAAAATAGTATTGACTGATAAATAAACATGTGCCAAGCCATTTCTTGGCATTAAAAGACAGTTCCATCCATGACGAAATGAATTCATTAATTTGAATATTTCCTAGAAAGAGGGCATGATTTTAAGCTACTGGGGTGAACAAAAGTTTAAGTTCTTGAATACTAAATTGCGTATTTACAAAATGCAAACATATAAATTCCCAATAGTTCATTGAATAAACATAAATACAAGTAAAGAAAACCAAATGAATCCAATACCATTGAGTTGACTTTGATTCCTTTTGACCCTTTAGGACAACATTGAAATGTCCCTCAAAGGTTCCCAAGGCTTTAAGTCTTTACAGACAAGATTGTCTCATCTTTCTCCCACTGAGAAAGGAAAATAATGACTGGTGAATTTAGAAAGCACTGCCTTTTCGGTCAGCAGTCAAACCTTGGGCCACCAGGGCTCTCAATAGTTTATTATTAACCTTGAAAGAAAAATCTTACTATATAAATGTCTTCATTGTTGTTGAAAACCACCAAATTCTCTGCAGGAGAAAGATGAGCAATTTCTGTGTGATTTATAACCTCTGGAAACCGACTAGAGGGAAAACTCCAAGACTGTTCTAACCCCACAGCAATTTAAGTTTGAATTTAGAAAAACTGTACCCAGAGTCCCAACTCACAGACAATGGGATAATAGATGTACATATTGATTGTGGAGAGACTGGAACCCTTATTCATAGTTAGTGGGAGTGTAAAATGGTGCAACCACTGTGGAAAGCGATGTGGCGCTTTCTCAAAAAGTTGCAAATAGAGATACCATTTGACCCAGCAATTCCACTACTAGAAAAATACCCTAAAGAGACCATAACTGACATCCAAGCAGATATATGCACACCCACATTTATTGCAGCTTTTTTCACAATAGCAAGGAGTTGGAAACAACCTAAGTACCCATCAACAAATGAATGGATAGAGAAGCTGTGGTATATTCACACAATGGAATACTACGCTGCATTGAAATACAAGGAACTCATGCAATATTACTCAAAATTGGTGACCCTGGAGGATATTATGCTGAGTGAAGTATCTCAGTTACAAAAGGACAAATACTATATGGTGCCACTGTTGTAGAATGAGGCTGACATCAGGGTGCGGGTAAGACTGAAAAAAACTTGATAAATTATGTTCACTGCATTGAAGCTGATGAGGGAAAGAATAGTTAAAAAGCAATATATTTTAGGGCATTATGATTATCATAAGAGTCTGGAATGAGGGTTGCAGAGTGGAGTATACTTGGGGTGGGGATGGGGATGGGGGTGTGCGGGGGGATTATATACCAATGAAGGAGTTTTTCTTTTACTTTTCAAGGAGAAGAGCAAACTGGGGGTGGGGGTGGGGTGGGTGGGGAGAAAAGTGCAATGATGAATGAATGGAAATCCAAAGTCTCTGTAGATGTTCATTGAAATTAATAAAAGAAAGAAAAAAATAATATGAGTTATATTTATATTATACTTCAGTCAGACAAAAGAAATTCTTAAATTAATAATGACAAGCTGGAATGCTTAACTATAAAAATGTAGGCTATGTAGTCATTATTTTAAGATAATACAGTTCGAGAGAATGATGGTGAGTAAATGATGAAAAATAATTTTTTATGTATTTGTGATTATTAATGTTATTATGTGCTGTTGAGTTACTTGCAGCTCATAATGACTGCGTGCAACAGCTCTGAATGTTGCTCTAATCTGAGCTGACCTCATTGTCTCTAACACACCTAACCCCATTACCCTAGGTGGGTTTGTTTACAAGGCCCCAGGAATTGATGAAATACCAATAGGTATATTTCAGCAAGCAGATGCTTCCCTGGACGTGCTCACCAGTGGTGCCAAGAAATCTGGAGGACAGCTACAGTGCCAGCTGAATGGAAGAGATTAATATTTACTCCCTTTCAAAAAAAATGGATGACCTGACAGAGTGTGGAAATTGTCAAACAATATCAGTAATATTACACACAAGCAAAATCTTACTGAAGATTATCCAAAAATGACTAGAACAGTGCATGACCAGAGAAATACTCAAAGAGGTCACGGGTTTTAGGGAAATCATTGCCAATATCATAATAGATCTTGGCTAAAAGCAGAGTACCAGAACAATGTCTATCTGTGTTTCATTGACAAAGGCATTTGATGACTGTGTGGATCACAACAAATTGTGACTAACCTCGAGAAGAATTGGAATCCCAGAACAGTTGATCGTGCCCGCAAGAAACCTATACTTGAACGAGGAGGCAATCATCAGGACAGAACAAGGAAACATATGCGTGGTTCAAAATCAGGAAAGGAGTATGTCAGGGATGCATCTTGTCTTCATACCTTTTCAATCTATATGCGGAACATATCATTCAGGAAGCCTAACTTTATGAAGAAGAATGTGACATCAGGATTGGAGGAAGACTCATCAACAATTTGCATTATCCAGATAGCTTGCTGAAATAGGGGAAGGCCTGAAGCATCTGCTGCAAAAGATCAAGGACTGCAATCTTCAGTATGAGTTTTAAGCTCAACACCAGGAAAGATTCTCATCACTGGGCCAATTGCAGTAACATGATAGGAGAAATTGAGATTGTTAACAATTTCAGCTTACTTAAATACAGAATCAATATTGTTGAAACCAATAGCCAAGAGACCAAAAGACAAATTGGATTAGGGAAGTCTGCTGTCAGGAACCTCTCCAGAGTATTGAAGAGCAACAATATCAGTCTAGAGACTGAGGTACACCTGATCCAGGCTGTGGTCTTGGAAATTACTGGCTATGCATCAGACAGTTGAACTACAAATAAGGATGACAGAGGAAGAATTGGTATCTTTGAGTTGTAGTGCTGGAAAAGAGTATTGAATATTTCGTGGACTGACAAGTGAACAAACAAGTCTGTCCTGGAAAGGGTAAAACCAAGTCAGTCTCTGGAAGATTTTGAAGCTCTGTCTCACATACTTTGGGCATGTTGCCAGGAGGGACCAATCCTTGGAAAAGGACATTATGCTTGGAAGGGTGGAGGGATAGTACTGGAGAGGAAGACCCTGGATAAGATAGACTAGCATAGGGCAGGAGTATTGAAGTCTGAGATTGATTCAGGACAGGACAGGGGTCAGAGCTATTGTGCATAGAGTTGCTGTAAGTCACAAGTGACTCAATGGCACAAGCTGGCTAACGTAAATGTTGGTATTTCAAATCCACTACATGCTCTGTGAAAGATTTGAGTCAGTTTCTGTCTCTAAAAAGGCACCTAGCCTTGGAAGCCCAATGCAGGATTGTCAAGAGTCCAAATTCACTGAAAGGGAATGGATTGGTTGAAAAGTACATAAAGATTCATTATGCTATTTCTCTTCACTGTCATGATAGAATAAAATAAATGTTATAATCCCACTTTACAGATGAAGAAAAAGAGGCACATAGGAATTATATTAATTCTCTAAAGTTATAAATTCCAACCCAGTTTCTTTGACTTGATATCCCATGCTGTTAGTCACTGCACGTATATGTTTCTGTACTTAGTTAATTTAATCTACATAAAAGATTCTATGAAGTAGTTATTACTATTCCCATTTGAAAGCATGAGAGATAATATGAATTTTCGTTAATCATGAGGCTAGTTAATCGAAATCTCTATTTAAGCTCATACTCTTACCATTGTAGTCAAACCATTATGCTTCATTTCTGCTAGTGAGTACTCAAAAAGTGTCTGGTAAGTTAGATGTGATAGGAAGTCACGATCAGTCTCTCTCTCTCCCTCTCTTTTAAATAATCTACCAATACATTGTTTTCCCTTGTTTTGCAATGACTCTAGTAATCTTTCTTCCTGTTTCATCCATGTATTTGGGAAGGGTATACTCTGTCTATTCCCATACTTTTCTTCTCAGTGATGTTAGCTTTTTGTATAATGTGAATGGAGAAAAGAAGGGTGCAAAACTAAGTTCTCCCCTAAAAATAGCAGACTAGAAATAAAAAAAGAAAACATTACCTGCCACATTGCTGCTATTTACATTTTGAAGGAAATCCATTTTTTTATCTATATTCAGGGCAAAAAGATAAAATGAGAAGAAGTAAAAAATTAAAAACAATGTACATGCATGCGAAAAATATTAGCACAAATTAAAACAATACCAGAAATATTAAAAGAATCTCTATTGTTTTTATCCTACTCTTTAACTTCAGAATTAACACTTTGATTACTTCCATTTTCCTTTCTTCCATGGTAATCATTACAACTTAAAATAATATATTCATCCACAGAAGTAATTTATGAACTTTTATATTTTGCATATTCTATTTTTTCCCGTGGCTTTTTAAAATAAAGATACTTCTATTTTTGCAAACCAAAAAAAGATAAACAAAAAACTCTTTAAAAAAATCAAATAATTACATTCTTGCAGCATCTTAGTTGCATTATTTTAATAAAAATAAATTATTTTCCTGTAAAATGAACTAATTACATTCTTGGAAGAGTTATGCTGAGGGGTTTCTTCATTACATTCTTGAGCTACCTTTACCCTGTAAGGATCAGAGATCTTTTCTTTTTCCAAAAGAATACATGGATATAACTACAAATTTGATCACAACTTTGAAGGCATTATTCCAATATTGCTTTTGCATTTTAAAAAATCTGATATTAAAAGAGACTGCTAAATATAGCCAGAAATCCACAATCTGGAGAGGATAAAGTTGATGAATGGGACCACCTAAAGATTAAATCCCTGTGCGCATCAAAAACAATTGCCAATAGAGTGAAAAGAAAATCTACTGACTGGGAGGGGGGGAACCCATTTGGAATAGGAGCAATGATTTAGAAAATCACTACCTAACTGAGGAGGCACTGGAGAATATTTTTACAAGTAAACTAACTCAGTCCATGAGGATAACTACTATATAAGACCATTTTTGTAGAACTAGAAAGATAACTACTAAAACTATCCTTCCCCAAAGGGGGAGGGATAGAAACAGAGGGGCGAGGACGGGCAAGGGGATAATAGGGTAGCACAATCTGATGGTGAAGAGAGGGGTAAGTAAAGGAAATGGGAAATATCTGGTGGGAAAAAATAGTGCTTACTTACAAACTCTGTTAATAAACTAGTATTGTTATTGTTGTTGTTATTGTTGATTGCCATTGAGTCGAGCATGATTCATAGCAATTCCATGAGTGAAAGGCCTGAAGCCTTTCTATAACTATCAATATTTATCAAAGTTTATAGAATTTCCAGAAGCATGTTGTTTAGGAAGTGGATGTCACTGTTGCTTCCAAAAACAGTATATATATATAGTTGTTGTTGTTGTTATGTGCCGTCGAGTCGCCTGCGACTCATAGCGACCCTATGTACAACAGCCCTAAACTCTGCTCTGTCCTGTGCCAATCGCACTGTCTCTGACACTCCCATCCCAATTATCCCAGTCACTGAATCAATCCACCTCATAGAGGGCCTTCCTCTCCTGTGCTGTCCCTCCACCCTCCCAAGCATGATGTCCCTCTCTAAGGACTGGTCTCTCCTCACAACATGTCCAAAGTATGTTAGACGGAGCCTCAGAATCCTTGCCTCCAAGGAGCCACCCGGTTTAACCCTTTCCAGGACAAATCTGTTTGTTTTCCTAGCAGTCCATGGTACTCTCAATACTCTTCTCCAGCACCACAGCTCAAAGGCATCAATTCTCCTTCTATCCTCCTTGGTCATTGTCCAACTTTCTGATGCATAACAGGTGATTGCGAAGACCATGGCCTATATCAGATGCACCTTAGTCTCCAAAGAGATACCATTGCTCTTCAGTACTTTGGAGAGGTCCCTAACAGCAGACTTTCCCATGGCAATGTGCCTTTTAATTTCCTGGCTGCTGGTGCCAAGACTGTTGACTATGAAGCCAAGCAAACTAAAGCTGTGAACAATCTCAATCTCTTCACCATCCATATATGTATATGAATGTATGTATGTATATGTATATATGTATATATATATAAATTAAAAACAATCTAATAACATTTGTTTCTCTTTTCTTTGAAAGAACATTAACATTTTTTTAAAGGCTTTAAGTGTTATAGATTTGTTTATGTTGGTTGTTCTATTGTTTTCTTTTAAATTGATGTCCTTAATTATAAATATGAAGATTAATATCTATTTGCAATGTTTTGTTCTGTTATATATAGAGTCACTACAGTTAGTTATTAATTTGACTGCATCAAAGAATATCTATCATATATCTTGCTATCTATATACCTTTCTATCTAATTCTTTTATCCTGTTCTAAACTTTCTTCACTTTTATGAATGGGAGAAATAAGTGGAAAATCTTGCTTTATTTGTTTGTTTGTGTTTTTTTAAACCCCCTGAAATTTGTCTTCTATTATTTATGTGCCTTTTTTTTTATACTCTGCCTTTATCTTTGATCTCTTTTACTGGAAAACTATGAAGAGACATCATTTTTGCCTGGGCATTTTGTTGTTTGATGCTATTAAGTGGGCTTCAACTTATGACTATCCCATAATCTATTGAATAAAATGTTGGCAGGCCTCATCACCCACGTGAATGTTTGTGGATTGAGATCCGTAAGGTTTTCATTGACTGATTTTCCAATTTCCAGGTCTTCCTCGTTCATTTGAGAGTGAAAACTCCATTGAAACATGTCCAGTTTTATTTGTAATGCTATGTAAGCCTCAACTGACAAAGGAGTGATAGGTATACATAAGATTTCTTGACTGTACATTGCACTTGTCTCCATAAAAATGGTGAGAATTCTACCACTGAACCACAACTGCTCCTTCCTTGACACACATTTTTTGTTTTTCCTTTGTTTATTTCTTTTTTGTCACAGATATCCTCTTATAAATACTATTTTTTTGAAACTTTTCTGTCTTGCTTTATGCTGTTAAATATTTAACTGGCTAACCCAAATTTTTGAAACAGAAAACAGATAAGATTTATTTTGTAGTGTCTAGGTATGAGAGTGACTAATCAGTATACTACTCTCTTATTCAACATCAAAACAATTGAAAACTATATTTCATGTCACAAATCCTCTCTATGTAAATTAGGGTACTGCACTGCAATTCTGAAGGCACACAGTTCAAATTCACTACATAATCCTTGCAAGAAGGATGGGAAGTCTCCTCTTGTGTAATTAAAAACTGGCCTTGAACATCTGCTGGAGGGTTAGTTATGGATAGGTTTTGACTTGATGGTACACAACAACAACAACAATTTCAATATACATAGAAGCCAATCCTAGAAAAGGACATCATGCTTCAAAAAATGAAGTGCCATCCAAAGAGAAGAAGAGCCTCAAAGAGATTGAAAAAATTTTCTCCTACATTCATATGATGATGATATTAAGTAAATAGTTCCATTATGAAGATACGGAGGAATTTAAAGAAATAACATATGAGCAAGAGCCTATGGTGATGAAGGAAGAAGTTCAAGCTGCTTTGAAGGAAATAGCAAAAAATAAGGCCCCAGGAATAGATGGTATACCAATTGAAGTATTTCAGATTACAGATGTTGCCCTGGATGTGCTCACCAAGTTGTGCCAAGAAATCTGGAGAACAACCACTTGGCCAACTGACTGGAAGAGATCCATATCTGTTCCCATTCCAAAGAAAGGTGACCCAACTGAGTGTGGAAACTACAGAACAGTGTCATTGATTTCACATGCAAGCAAGATTCTACTGAAGATTATCCAAAAAACGATTAGAACAGCACATCAGCAGAGAACTGCCGAAAGTCCAGGCTGGGTTTAGAAGGGGTCATGGTACTAGGGATATTGTTGCTGATGTTAGATGGATCTTGGCTGAAAGCAGAGAATACCAGAAGAATCTGTGTTTCATTGATTATGCAAAGGCATTTGACTGTGCGGATCATAACAAACTGGCTGACTCTGAGAAGAATGGGAATCCCAGAACATTTAATTGTGTGAATGTGAAACCTATACTTGGACCAAGAGGCAGTAGTCAGAACAGAGCAGGGTAACACTGCATGGTTCAAAATTGGGAAGGGTGTACGCCAGGGATGCATCCTGTCTCCATACCTTTTCAACATGTATGCAGAGCAGATTATCCGAGAGGCTGGGTTCTATGAGGAGAATTGTGGCATCAGGATTGGTGAAAGATCTATTAACAATCTGCGTTATGCAGATGACACAACCCTGCTTGCTGAAACTGAGGAGGACCTCATGCACTTGCTGCGAAGGGTCAAGGACTGCAGCCTTCAGTATGGACTGAGGCTCAATGTCAAGAAGACAAAGATTCTCGCCACTGGACCGATTGGCAACGTCAGGATGGATGACGAAGAGATTGAGATTGTTCACAGCTTCAGTTTGCTCGGCTCCACAGTCAACACTCTTGGCACCAGCAGTCAGGAAATCAAAAAGCATATCGCGATGGGAAAGTCTGCTGTTAGGGACCTCTGTAAAGTACTCAGGAGCAACGGTGTCTCTCTGGAGACTAAGGTGCGACTGATACAGGCCATGGTCTTTGCAATCGCTTGTTATGCATCAGAGAGTTGGACAATGACTAGGGAGGACAGAAGGAGAGTGGATGCTTTTGAGCTGTGGTGCTGGAGAAGAGTACTGAATGTACCATGGACTGCCAGGAAAACAAACAGATTCATCTTGGAGAGGATTAAACCAAGCTACTCCTTGGAGGCAAGGATTCTGGGGCTTCGTCTGACATACTTTGGACATGTTGCCAGGAGGGATGGGTCCTTGGAGAGGGACATCATGCTTTGGAGGGTGGAGGGACAGCGCAGGAGGGGAAGACCCTCTATGAGATGGATTGATTCGGTGACTGGGGTAATCGGGATGGGCATGTCAGAGGCAGTGCGGTTGGCGCAGGATAGAGCAGGGTTTAGGGCTGTTGTGCATAGGGTCGCTATGAGTCTCAAAAGACTCAACGGCACATAACAACAACAACAACAACAACAATGAAGATTTTTGTTTTCTTGGTAGTTAGTTGCAATCTGTACTGAAGGGCTTATCATTTGAGCTTCAACAGTGTTTCAATTCTTATTTGCTCTAGACAATGTTGTGCTATCTGTATATCACAGATGGTTGATAAGTTTTCCTACAAATTCTAGTGCCAGGCTTGTACCTCATGTAGTTCAATTTCTTGAATTATCTGTTCAGTATACATATTGAAGAGTTATGGTTTGAGTTTAAAATTAATGTTTTCATTTATAATTTGAAATATGTTACTTTTTTGTAAATATACAATGATTTCAACAGTATTCGTATAACTTACAATTTCTGTTTCAGTGTTAGACTACAATAATTAGTTGGTGTCAGTATTAAGAGGTTTTAAGAAAAATATTTAGTCTTCCAAAAATACACAAATAAATAATAATTCATTACTTACTCTGGTAGTCCAGGCCAATTATTATTGTCATGAAAGCAAGGATCCCAACACATCCAAATATTATCATGAGACAATAACATTGTGGATACCAAGCAAAGTCTGAAATGTTGAGAATTTTTAATGAATTTTAAATTTATAATTATTTTATAAACATATTCCAAGGTTTTTTTTAAATTACAAAAAAAAATCATTGCTTATTTTAGATGATATATTCTAATTTATGATCAGTTGGTAATTAAAAAATTAAGCTACCAGATTCTTCAAATTTTCCTCACTCCCCCATCAAATTGTACAATCCCATGTTTAATGTCCCCGTCCCTGCACATCCTCATCCTTCTTCTTCCACAACCCCACACCCCAATCCTCATACACATTCTACAATAATAGTACAATATTTGTCCTTGTGGAACTGGGTCTGAAAAACAATGTATGTGAATTTTGTAAATAAACTAGTACAATAATAAAAAATACTTAAACTACTATTAAAAAACACAGTGGTCTCATACTAGAGTTGCTCCTGACTCCGTGAGTGATAGGACAGAGTATTACTGGCCCTTAGAATTTTTCAAGGCTGTAAATCTTTGTTGAAGTTTACCGCTGTATCTTTCTTCAAGAGAATTCATACTAGGGTTTAAACCAGTAACTTTTTAGTTAGCTGCAAAGTGTTTAATTACTGCAAGACAAGACCTAATGTTTGACATTGTGTCATTGTTTCTTCATTGATTATTTCATGGTAGGAATGACTTGGAAACAATTGATGTGTTAAATTTTTCATAAAGATAAATGTTTATGCTTAGTTATATATATTCTTAAAATAAACTGAGAAATGAGAGAGAAAGAAGCATTTACTTAGGTTGTGTCATTTACTGGTTACTGTTCTAAGATTATTCAACATGCTATTTCACCTTTTATACATGATATATTCTATTTCTTAGGATAATTTTTCATACTTGGCTTTTTCTTTGCAGATAGGAATGATGTAGCAACTTTGATCTCCATGTAATCATGCTTATATAGAACCTATGGTCCTTGAGGACTCTTTTGAGAGGAGTAAACAGAGGTTAAAAAATTTATCCTCTTTGAATTTTATTTACTTTCTTCCATTTGTTAGCACTTTTCAATAAGTTAGACATATATAATCTTTCTACAAACAAAATTAGAAATAGTTTCCTTTCATATGTGGTGTAATAATTATATGGACTACTCAATTATATCATAGAAAATTATCCCAATCTAGATGGCTTCTAGCCAATTTTCCATTAGTCCCAATTTATTTATTTATTTATTTATTTATTTATTTATTTATTTATTTATTTATTTATTTATTTTGCTGTTCAGCTAAGAAGCATTTAATTTAGTTACTTTGGTTGTACGTTTCACAAATACTATATCTTAATAAAGATAAGAACAGCTTCATAAAAGGTGTTATTTCTCAAGATGAAACAGCAAATAGATGTTTTATTTAAATTAACTTAATTAGCCTCATTATATTTCTAGCCACACATATGATTTGCTATATGTAGTAAAACTTCTGAAATATAATATCCAATTGCCTATATCACTGCGTAAGTTTAAAATAGGTTTCATTTTTGTTTCCATTACCTTTGTGTATTTCCTCTGGTCAAACAAAAGTCAACGGATCTGTTTATCTGAGTGTACTTGAAATACAATTTTATACTTTTATAAAGAGATATTTACCCTAGGTACATGGATGTGTAATTAACACATCATCTATACATAGAACCTGATATTTAACATGTTATTACTTTTGTTTTGTTTGATTTTCTCTGTGTAAGTTTTTTTTAAATTTATTTTTATTTCATCTAATTTACATACAGAATTCATACACATTTTTTAAAATTTATTATTAATTTCAGTAAAAATGTACAGAGACTTTGGATTTCCATTCATTCATTGTTGCACTTTTCTTCCCTTCCAACCCTCCTCCCTAGTGCACTACCCTCTTGTAAAAGTAAAACAAAAATTCTTTCATTGTTTTGCAAACTCTCCCCCAGGTCCACTCCACCATATAGCCTTTGCTCTGGACTCCCGTCGTGACAAAAATACCTAATCACATATCCTTTTTAGACAGTTTTCTCCCTCATCTGTTTCAATGCAGTATACATTATTTAACCTGTCTTTCTCAGTCTCCCCCCATCCCGATGTCAGTCCTGTTTTACAACAGTGGCACCATGCAGTATTTGTCCTTTTGTGACTGAGATACTTCAGTCAGCATAATGTCCTCCAGGGTCACCCATTTTTAATAATATTGCATGAATTCTTTGCTTTTCAGTGCAGCTTAGTATTCCATTGTGTGAATATACCATAGCTTCTCTATCCATTCATTTGTTGATGGGCACTTAGGTTGTTTCCAGCTCCTTGTTACTGTGATCAAAACCACAGTAAACATGGATGTGCATATACCTGCTTGGATGTTAGTTATGGTCTCTTTGGGGTATATTCCCAGTAGTGGAACTGCTGGGTCAAATGGTATCTCTATTTGCAACTTTTTTTTTTTTTAATTTTGTGTGAGTGTACCATCAAATTGGATCTGACTGGTACAGGAGGAGATTGTCCCTCCTTCCCCGGCAAAGCATCTGGTGAATTCGAACTGTGCGCCTCTGGGACTGTAGTTGCAGCTCCTTGCCACTAGGCCACCAGAGCTCCCCTATTTGCAACTTTTCGAGAAAGTGCCATACCGCCTTCCACAGTGGTTGCACCATTTTACACTCCCAACAACAGTCAATAAGGGTTCCAGTTTCTCCACAACCTCACCAGCATTTATTGCTTGCTGTTCTGTTAAATGTTGCTATTCTGACTGGGGTTAGATGATATCTTATAGTTGTCTTATTTGCACCTCTCTTAGAGCTAGGGATTTGGAACATTTCTTCATGTGCTTGTTAGCCATCTGAATGTTTACTTCGGTGAAGGATCTGTTCATATCCTGTGCCCATTTTTCTATTGGATTATTTACCTTTATCTTGTTGTGGTGCTCAAGTATTTTATACATTCTGGATATAAGTCCCTTATCTGATGTGTCATTACCAAATACTTTTTCCCAGTCTGTGACTTCCCTTTTTACCCTGGTGGAGAAGTTTTTTGATGTGCATAGGGATTTGATTCTTAGACGAACCCATTCATCTATTTTATCTTCTCCTAGTTGTAGGTAACATGTTATTACTTTTGAAGGGACGCTAATTATATTACTCATATGTGTGCCATGAGAAACCATAGGTGTGAGTATATTTTACAGATAATGTGAGTGGAATAACTGGTAAGGTTACCCTTATCTCATCATGAAAGGAAGCTTAGAAGCAAATAAACATTTCAGCTTATTTTATACCTCATTTTGTCCTTTCTTCAGTTATATATATAATCGATACTATTTTATGTCTTATGTATCTATATGTAGATTTTACATGACTCTTACCATTTGTTTGTTAAGTAATGATAAATTAAAAGAAAAATAGTCAATTAATTCCATTAACATCTACACAGAATCAGTACAAGGGAGGTTTCCTACATTATACATAAAATAATTATAAAATATTTCCTCTTGATCATGCTCTTGAATCTGTAGCATTAAAGGTCTGACCCAGTCCATCTGACTTCAACATCTCTAGTTTTCATTGTATCAAATTGAATCATGAGCAAAAAGGAAATGCTTATTTCATGATATTGAGACCATTGGTCATAGTCAAGTTGTCATGTGACATAAATAAAGAAATAACACCAAATAAAAGACTGTATAAAATGCAACAACAGCAAACTGAAGAAACAACATACTCAAGTATATGGGACTGTGACATTTTGGTCTAGGGTTTTAATGATAACAATGAGAAGATTCCCTGTGAAATTTGCCAGGTACATCAGTAAGATTAATTTTTTTAAATTTTTTTAGTAATATTAATTTTTAATTCAAAGCCTGTAACTCCCAAACATTAGAAATGCCTTGAGGAAGAATCTAGTCAACTGAGTAGAGATGGGAATCTCTAGGAAATATAATTGTTGTCGTTGTTGATGTTGTTATGTGCTGTCGAGTCGCCTGCGACTCATAGCAACCCTATGTACAACAGCCCTATACCCTGCTCTAACCATTGCTAATCTTATTGTCTCTAACACACCTATCCAATTAATCAAGTGACTGAATCAATCCATTTCATTGAAGGTCTTCCCCTGTCCTGTGCTCTCTACTCTCCCAAACATAACAGCCCTCTCCAAGAACTGATCCCACCTTGTAACATGTCCAAAATATGTCAAATGAAACCTCAAAATCCTTGTCTCCAAAGAGCAGCCTGATTTAACCCTCTTAAGGATGTACTTGTTTGTTCTCCTAGCAGTCCATGGTATATTCAATACTCTTCTTCACACCACAACTAAAAGGCATCAACTCTCCTTCTATCATCCCTAGTCATTATCCAGCTCTCTGATGCATAGCAAGTAATACTGACTTGAACCCACAAGAGATAGAGCCATAAAAAACTGTAGAATCAAATAAGAAAAATCTTAATATCAAGAAAACAAAAATCTTGGACCAGTAGATTACATAATGATACAAGTAAATGAAATTTAAATCTAATTTCTTAGATAATTCTATCTGGAAATGTTATTGATAACATATGGATATGGACTTTACCTCTAGCCCTTATTTGATGTTGTAATGCAGATAGGCAGGACTTTGAGAGTGGGGTATCTAAAGGAGATTGATTGACTACCATTTCACAAAGAGATTAGCCAGTCTCAACAATCTATAAGTGGAATGGGTAGTCTTGCCAATAAATTCAAGAGCTCTAGTGGTAGGTGTCCAGGAGAGACGCGTTCTTAGAGAAGGACATCATGCTTGGAAAGGTGGACAGACAGCACAGAAGAGGAAGATCCTGGATGAGATGGATTGATACAGTGATTAGCACAATAAGAATTGGTGTGTTAGAATTAGCGAGACTGGATCAGGACAGAGCAGGGTTCAGAGCTGCAGTACATAGGGTCACTATGGGTTGCAGGTTACTCGAGGTACATAACAAAAACAAGGAGAAGTGGCAGAGAAAGGAGTTCTTCACCCACCAGAAGAGATGGAATTCTTCATCCAGCCAGAAAAGAGAGACTTCTTCCAATCCAATGAAATTTAGGACATGTCTCAGGACAGCAAGAGTGATGACTGAATTGGAGAATTGATGTGATTTTGGACTTTGTGGAGGGGATTGGGAACCAATATCGGCAGGACTGAGAACAACTGGGGAGGAAAACCAAGGACTGAGAACTTGGGAACACTTAGAGCCCTGAGGCTCAAGGTTGAGGTGTCTGCGTGCACATTTTGGGAGCTATCTTCACTGTATTCTTTTATTAAATTAGATTATAAACTTTTGATGTCCCCAATATGATTCTATGTGGTCTGTGAGCTATCATATTGGATTCTGGACCCAGCAAAGCAATAAGATTGGTGCTTAGTAGAAAGATGCACGGGAGTGTGGGAGATATGTTTGACTTCATGGGAATTGGTTTTTTGTTACTGATGCTATGGGTGGGGATAATGTCCCCCGGTGAAGTAAAGATCAGATATGTAATTCCCCAAGTGGTTCTTGCTCTTTTTACAATGAATTTAGGTGTATGTCAAGAATAATTTAATACAAAATATTATTTACCTTACCTGCTTTTTTTATAAATAATGAAGAATAGTAGATGATCTAGATAAATAAATTAATCTGAAAGATTTTTTTTAAAGTCTTTGGAAAAAACACTCTACAAGGGAACCTAAGATAATAAATGCATGAGATTGTTCAACAAGTGTACTTATGGCTGACCTGCTGTCATTATCAACAAATCTTTACTTCTGCCAGTAGTGTCCTGGATTAGGAGTTTATTATTTATGTGCTAATTGTCTTCATTCATTCAAACAACAAACAAACAAAAACCTAGATGAGCTAAACTTAGGGAGAAATATTTTGAACTGTAACAATCATTAGAAAAAGTTCAATAACCTAGATATAGCAGCCTTAGAAGTAGCCACAAGAAATTGCTACCATCTCCATTTTTTTTCTCATTTACAAATGATATACCAAGTCCACTGATCTTTTCTGAAGATTGGAAAAAACCCAATGTGTAAGACAATACTTTGCAAATGGTAAAACATTGTGAATTACCAAAACATTAGATTTACATTCTTCAGATATGGTTAGGTATCATTATGACACATATTTATATTTTTACATACTTAAACAATTACTTTTGTGGAATTTATACTATATATATATAAAACATTTATACTATATATAACATTTATACTGTATTTATAACATTTATACTATATATATAACACTTATACTATATTTATAACATTTATACTATATATATAACATTTATACTATATTTATAACATTTATACTATATATATATAACA